CTGCTGCCAGCTGATCTGCGGCCGAACTTGTCAAGACTCATGATTGACGACTCTCAGTATATAAGGTTAGCTTCACGAAGTTCATTAACGATTGCCACTATTTCATTATCGAGTGATGTGTTTCCAGCTTCCTTAGAAGCAATGAGTAGTTTCAAGCGGTCTACGAGTTCATTTGGATCGTCCCAATAGATATATTCCACGGGGTTTTCGTTGTACGTCAAACCACTACCAATCGTTGAACGCCTACCGCTGTTTTTTCGTATCTGTACAATAAGTGGCTTGATGACGTTCGTATACTTCCATCTCTTAGACCCTTTCAATTTTCCATCCTTGTTTATATAGCGATCACTCAGCTTCAAAATTTCCTTGTAAGCCTGCATATCTTCATCGTTATAATCTGAAGGATCATCATAGAAAATGAGCTGATACACCCCTGGAGTTCCTCGTACTTGTTTACCACCAATCTTTATGAATCCAGTTCTTTTATCAAAGTCAATTTCCTGCGTCCCCAGAAACCATTTCGACGTTTGAGGATCGTAAGTTGGACCATACATCTGATCTATTTTGTCGCTGTAATCCCAATGTTCTCTGAGATATGGATGCACCATGACTGGGTATTGTTCTAGGTATTCATCGATTACATCATACGGAATACTTTGTTCTGGAGTGATATTTTCGTTCAACAGGATATCATCATCATATTCGTATTGATCATCATCATCCACAAAACTTCCGGTTCCACCCACCTCTTCCATTGGAATAAACTGCGTTTGCTGAGCCTGTTCTTCTTCTTTTTTCAGTTCAGGTGGCTCTTCTTTCTTCATACTGGTGCTAAACTGGGCTCTTGCCAGTAAATCACGATTGGCCTTTGACGTTTTCACAATTTCTTCCAATGGTTTGGATATGGGCTTGAACATTCTGTTCAGCGATTCGTCCTCCTCAGATTTACCCAGTTTCAAGGCCAAGTACTTTTTTCTGATTGTACGCGTGAGCTCTGCAATTTTCCGTTTACGTGCTGCAGCCTGATCGTCATTACGTTTGGATGGCATTCTTCCTCTGCGCATGACTTGACTTGACGACCTCATGATGTCGAATGACTACACTTTTATATATTTGTCGAAACCTTGGCGATATCTGCCGTTATACAAATCAAAATCCTTGACAATCACTAGAGTACCATATGTGACACTCCAACATTCGGAGCACAATTTTTTAAAGACGTCAAAGCTCATGTCTGGAGAGACATGTTCATCAAACACATGCTTCAAGTTGATCTCGTCCTGTTTGAACAGCACCACCATGTTACAATTGTCTCTCAATAATTGCTTAGGAATTTTAGAGTAAGTTTGGCAAAGGTAGGCAGCATCGATATCTTTGTGTCTACACATTGAAAAATATTCTCGAATTTTTTGTTGCTCATCACACGCCACATCGTCAAATATGAAAATCGAGTTGGGTTTCGCCTCAGATGGGCTTATTATTTCATCGTTGTCTCTGTACGGAAAATATCCCACCTCCTTCACTGCATCCAACACCTCTTGAAGTAGCTGATATTTTGGTTGATACAACGACTTGGAGTACACGTAGACATTTTTGAATCTCGCGCCATTTCGATTGAAGAGTAACGATAGCATGGCGTTTGTCTTGCCACAACCACTCGGTCCACACATGATTGCTCGAAACGAGTTGGGTAATAATTTTCCATGTTTATTCGGTGTCCTTGGTGACGTGTGAAGGTCCAAATTTTCGATAGGTAGCGTCTGGTCTTGTTGAATGACTTTCATCTCGTGATAGAGGTGCAAAGACTCCAATGATTGTGTACAAGGGAGAGGGTGTTTTGAATTCTCTTATAAACAAATTACCATTCGAGGTACACCTACCTGGTGGCTATCAATACTGTGGACGTAAGTACAAAAGTGAGGTTAGAGATTGAATAACTGATTTTACGTTACAGCTGGAACCAAACTTCAGAAACGGCTTGCACGTGGTGATCCTGGCATCAATCCCTTAGACGTTGCCTGCAAACAACACGACATTGCATATTCACAGAACACGTCTTTGGAAGAACGTCATAAAGCGGATTCGGTGTTGGAGAACGCTGCCTGGGAACGTGTGAGGTCGAGAGACGCCAAGTTCGGTGAAAGAGCTGCAGCATTAGTAGTTACTTCCGGGATGAAGGTGAAACGCAAACTCGGTATGGGATGTTCTTTCAAAAAACATATCGTGGGGAAAATCGGGAAGACGTTGAAGAAGAATCCCTCGACCAATTTGAAACAGGCTGCATCGTTTGCTTTGAAAGCTGCTAGGCATGCCGTTAAACAAGCAGGTGGAAGGAAGAAAGTGAAAATACCACGAATAATTCCTTTCGATGCCAAATCCGGTGGGATTCTACCACTGCTACCAATCTTTGCTGCTCTTGGTGCACTAGGATCTCTAGCTGGAGGTGCTGGAGCAATCGCAAAGACTGTCATTGACGCTAGGAATGCGAAGAAAAAGATGGAAGAAGACCATCGACATAACAAGGCTATGGAAACTATTGGCAAAGGACTGTACTTGAGAAGAAACGCCAAAGTAGGTTTCGGCTTGTTTTTGAAAAAGCAAAAAAACTTCCGATGAAGCTACCCAATCGACCGTTGTATGATGTCGAGTTGACAAAGTATGTTAAATATTTGAGAATCCCACATTTTCGGGGTGTTTTCATGCGTGACAACTTACCAAGCAGTGGACCCCGTCAACGCGAATCTGCAATCCTAAATTTGGACGTGTCAAAGAACCAAGGCACTCATTGGGTAGCTTACAGAAAGATAAATGATGTCGTCGAGTATTTCGATTCATTCGGTAGCCTGAAGCCACCGAGAGAACTTGTCCAATATCTGGGCAAAGTCAAACTCTATTACAATAACGATCCATTCCAGAAATATAACCAAATCAACTGTGGTCATCTCTGTCTGGAGTTCCTGTACAATGGAAGCCGTTTTAGCATATCTCCACCGTGAGAAGGCGTTGCAAGACTTTTCCGCAGAAGAATTGGCACTCTTCCCCATCAACTATCTGATCCAACATGTTAGACCTTGGGAACTCTTGGATGTTTGGCATAAATTACCACAGGACTATAGGAAGAACTTTGATCTGAGAATTCGTTTGCCTTGTTACATCCACTATAATAGACCTGATGCTCGAACCCACGTTAATGGACCGGTCAGCTCACAGTTTGAATGTCATGGTTGTAATTATTTCTTGAAGTGTAGAGTTGTCTTGGAATAAATATTCATAAGTATAGCTGTGTGTCATTAGGTACGTCATGTCTCTACTGTTGACCTTGACGAGTACCACCAACCAGTTCTCTTTCTTACCCTCCTCACCGATACTACTGCACCCTCTGAAAAGCTATTACATAGCTGTACTAGGATTTCACACCTATCATTCCATACCGAATATTGATGGTGAAAAGTTCTACTACTACGAGAACGATAATCGTGAAGTGCTGAAAGAGATTCAGTTTCCGACCGGCTGTTATGAGATAGAAAATATTGAGGATTACATTCGGAGACAAATTCAAGAAGCTGATGCAGATTTCACTTTGAAGCCCAACAACAATACTTTGAAGTGTGAAATCTATAGTCGACAACATACCATCAGTTTTGAGGAAGATAACAGCTTTGGTGAGTTGTTGGGATTTTCGAAGAGGATCTTGGAACCTGGCCGAGTTCACTGTTCAGATCGTCCTGTGAACATTCTGAAAGTATCAAGCCTACATTTCGATTGCAACATCACTGAAGGGTCGTTTTATGCAGACAGGCCTGCTCACACTATATTAAGCTTCCCCATCACCGTAGATCCTGGTTACGCTATCAACGAACGTCCAAATACCCCTCTCTATTTACCTGTGAGAAGTAGCCTGAGAGACATCACTAACATTACCGTTAGAGTGCTGGATCAGGACCTAAGACCTGTTAATTTCCGAGGAGAAAAGAGCACCCTACACTTGGACTTGCAAGAACGTTGAATGGGTCTAGTAGTTGATAATAAAAGATTAACCACAAACTCCTCAGTATCAACGGGACCTCCGAAGAGACAGGAGCTCACTCCAGAAAACGTTCTCTTTCTGCAAGCAATCGGATTACGAGTGAAAAATGAACAAGCGCAAGTATATTCGTTTGGAAGAATCAACAGCACCAACATTCAACCACACAAACCCAATTTTCGATCTGTATCGTCGGCCCAGATATGATGAAACTATTCGAAAAGAAGAATATCGCTCCTACATCCCATACGTCAAATCCTTCAATAACAATGATATGGTGGAAATCAACATAAATCAAGCAGACACATTTTTTGCAATGCATGAGTCTTTGCTGGAAATCAAAGGAACGTTGAATGTGCAAGGAGCTGGAAATGTGTACTTGGCCCCCAACTGTGGAGCATTTCTATTCGATTCTTGCAGTTATGTGCAGAGTGCAAGAGAGATAGAAGTAGTCAGAGATCCAGGGATCGTGAGTAGTGTGCGAGGATTCATGTGCTATAAACCTGATGATTCCAAACACTTATCCACAGCCGGATGGACGTATCCTGATAAACCGCTTTTGAATGCAATTGACAAGACATTTAGTTTGTTGATACCACTAAAGCACCTGTTCAACGTTTCCAATGACTACACCTCAATCACCTATGGAAAACAAACCATCCGACTGATTCGAGCTCGTAATGATAACGATTGCGTGATTGTACAGGAACTCCCCAATGGACCTACAACCACTACTACTACAGTTGAAGTACAAATACATAGTGTAGTGCTAAAAGTGAAGCACGTATTTCCGAACGATGAAATCAAACTACAACTGATGCAACCCATTAAAAATGATACACCTATACTGATTCCATTCAGGAAATGGGACCTCAGCCAATTGCCTGCTCTTACAAACGGCGCAAAAAGTTAAATTTGGGCAGTCAAAACGAGCGCTTCGGTGGAACGTCCTCGGTACGTTATTGTGTGCTTCCAGAAAGCTAAACGTGACAATGCAGAAGCTGATGCTACCCACTTTGATAACACGAGCATAGTTAGTATCAGATTAGCCCTTAATGGTGAATATTGGCCTAATGAGAGAATGCAGCTGGATTTCACTAAACAAGACTACACCCTTGCTTACTACAACTATACCAGGTTCTATTCGAGCTATTCACATTCGACGGAGGTTCACCCAATTTTGGATTATGGGGAATTCAAACAGCATGCATTATTTGTGATTGATTGCTCGAGGCAGGAAGAGACCATGAAATCATCGACAGTTGATATAAAGCTTGAAATCGAAGCCGATAAAGGATTCCCTGCTGACACCAAAGCCTATTGCATCATCGTACATGACTGTCTGCTAGAGTACTTCCCTCTAACGGAAGTCGTCAGAACCTTGATTTGAGTATAAATACCAACTGCAAACTGCTCGAGCTCGCATTCGATCGTCAGCCGTCATGAGGATCGCACTTGTCGACATTCAAGGCTTCACTCTTGACAGTGTTTTCCACCCGAAAGAGCTGACCATTCAAATTGGCCGCCAGAGATCCAACTTCCTATTCAAACCGCCTACACCGTTTGCTACCATTTGTGGACGTGACAAGAAAACTACACGTTATGTGGAGAAATTCGTCCATGGAATACCATATGATGCTGGTGATGTTGAATATACGGAGCTGAACGACATTTTGGAAAAATATTTGTTGCATTCGGTTGAATGTATGTACGTGAGGGGCAATCAGAAAGCTGACTTTTTGAAGACGAAATGTGAAGAACTTGAAGTATTCCCAACTGTATACGACGTTGCTTTGTATGATGGAACACCCTGTTCCAGTAAAACCTACCAGCAAACTATATCGTACTGCCCCAACCACGCCAATGGAAAATATATGTGTGCCCAGCGGAACGTTGATCAACTTTACCAGTGGTTTATAAATGTAATATTACCTAAATGAAGATGTACTGTGTTTGGCTCAATAAACATTATGATAAGGATGGGAGTTTTATTGAAACACCTTGTATAAGTTCCATCATTTTATTCACGATATATGTACCCAGCTTTAATCAGGCCTTTCACAATCAAAACGAACGTAGCTGCTAATGTCAAACCTAGTAATATGAACATTTTATTAAATTCATTCTGTATTCCTGTTGTGGGGGCTCCTATAGTTTGCCAGTCGGTATCCTCTTCAGATCCACCGAAAAACATCAACTTGAGTTTGAAGAAGGAATTATTCGTCTCTGGTATCTCTTTGTAGAATACTGGTAGACATCCATTGTTCACCAACTTATTTCGCATCGCTGTCCACGATGATCGATTGCAATCTTCTTTCGAGTCATTGAAACATATCGCCATGTTCTTGACATCCTTGGGAACATTTGTATACAATACGTTATTCAAAATTGCTGTCAGAACTATGAATACCACCCGTGACATTTTGAGGCTGGATGTGTCGTTTCTGCTCAACAGGCACCTCTACTGCTGGTACTCTTCCACAGCTGCTGAAAACTTTATCCCACAAACTCAGATTCTCCAATTGATTCAATACTCTGGTTTTATCTTCGTACAATGTTATGTCTTTGTTCAGCTGTCGAACCCGCTCCCCAAATTCCTCCAACTTGCTTTTGTACTCGTCCAAGGACATTGTAACACTGATTCAAAGGTCAAGTCTGAATAGTGGTAGTGGTAGCTACGCATGCGTACAGCTGATATAAGCTATTGGGCAGATTCGGCAAACACATCCAGTATCCATGATTGAATGGCTCGTGACAACAACAAGTTTGAACATGTCTGTTGGATGACTCATCGGCCACCTGCGTCAGAACAATGGACCCATTGTTCTCTCACAGATAAGGATGATGCAATCGGATGAGGTTGTTACGTAATCGGACACCTGCAAACAAAGGCGGCATTGTTCTCGTATAATATTGCGTCGCAATTTCCCAATAGCCGGAATTCCAAGAAACGCTGTGGCATAGAGAGAACAAAGGTGGCATTGTTCTAGAGGAAGGCTAGATAACATATGGCAAACAAAGGCGGCATTGTTCTACGAAGTAGAGATAAGGATGACTCATCGGCCATCTGCAACATGCATATCGGGTGACCTTGAAACAAAGTGCTACCAATTGTAGTAATACCAACCTAAATCTGGTGGGCACAGTCACTAGATTGTGACGTAATCAACTACCTTTCAAAAAAGAAGAAGAAGAATGTCCTAGGACACGCCCATAAGCACTAGAGTCTAGAGTCCAAAGTCTAGGGGGCTAAGTTCAGAGTACTTACACGTGTCATCTGTCATTGCTTGTGTTCCATGGTATCTGTCACCTATCGCTTGTCATATGTCACTTGTCTGTCACCTGTCACTCTTTGTGTTCCATGCCATCTGTCACCCCTGGGGCTCTATGTCACATGTCATCTGTCACTTGCATCTGTCATCTGTCACTTGTCATCTGTCACCTATCGCTTGTCATCTGCCATCTGCCACTTGTCAACTGCCACTTGTCATCTGTCACTTGCCATCTGTCAATTGTCACCTGTCACTTGTCATCTGTCACTTGTCACTTCTGGCGGCCATCTTGTGACGTCACTTCCGTGCAGCCAACACCTTCTACCACAGGAACGGTTGTGACGTCACTTCCGGCGGCGGCCATCTTGGGCTGAGGCATACGTAGGTACACTACTTATATTCCTCAACTGAAATAGATATTTATCACATCAAGTTTCAAGTGATTAAATTTATTCATTCTCTTTTGGATCCTAATCAGATTGTTTTCTCTCTCTTTCTCTATCGATTTCACAAAAATTGTGAGTATACTGCACATGCCATTCGAATATCATTACATGGGACATACACTTGTACGAATGCCTTGCTGATTTAGACATCACAAGACAGGCTACAATGCCTAGCGTGAGTCTACTCTAGTTCGACATTTTAATATCATACAGCTGTCCATTTCACCTATAGAAGTCTTGTATATAATTTCGATCTTATAGGAAATGGTGTTGATAATTCACCACTGTATTCTTTTGTGGAAATGAAGAATCTTGAATCGTGAATAAAAAAGACACCAATGTATCGAAAAGGAAGCTGCAGCCATCGTGGAGTCTATGAGGCGGTAGAGATCTTTCCTTCTTGGGTAGAATTTTCAACTGATAACTAATCAGGGAGCATTATCTTTCATTTACCATTGAAAACATGCTGAAGCAATCAAAAATGAGGAAATAATGATATGACATTTGGAATTGGCACCATTTGTGTACGATATTGTTCATCGCCCAGGCAAGGAGAATACATAAGCCGACACTCTCTCTCCCTCGAATGTGTTATGTAACCAGCGTTACTGAGCTGCATCAACTTCATAAGTCACAATGCCGCCCTGGCATAACGCGCATGTACCATTGGCTAAGGAATAAGAATCTTCCGTATTCCCTTGAGGATATCAGAAAAGTCACTACTACCTGTTCGATTTGAGCTGAGGTGAAACCTAGATTTGTGGAGAGCTCTGGTACTCTAGTGAAAGCCACTACACCATTTTGAAGGATAAATATTGACTCCAAAGGACCAATATCATTCAAAACCCGGAAATACTACATTCTCACGATCATAGATGAGTTTTCTTGATTCCCCCTCGCATACTCATGTCATGATGTATCTGCTTTCACTGTGGTAACCTGTCTGAAGGATCTATTATACTCAATTGGAACATCAGCTCACATACACACAGATCAGAGGGCCTCCTTCATGTCAAACGAAGTGGAGTCTTTACTGCATGCAAATGGAGTTGCCACTAGCAGAAGAAAATCGTTTAATTCACAGGGCAATGGGCGAATTGAACGCCTGAATGGTACGTTGCGGAATACCATGAATTCGTCATCGAGAACACATGGTTTGAGAACTGAAGATTGGGAAGATGTTCTCCAAGAATCCCTTTATGTCATTCGGTCTTCATTGTGCACGGCAACGAACTGCACACCACTTGTGATATTTTCTGTTCATCAGCGACGAACTGCTAATGGTACCACTCTACCGTCGTGGTTATTTCCGAGTTCTGTACTCGCTAAACGTGACGTGAGGCGCAGCAAATACGGAGATCCAGTCGGAGAAGTCGAATTGTTGGGAGCCAATCCTCAGTATGCCCTCATACGCAGGAAATATGGTATGGAATCGACTGTTTTTCTGCGACAGCTGGCACCCAGTGAAATCACAGTAAACAATGATGACAGTAGAACACCAGGCAGCATTGATACACCTGATACCCGTGACCAGGGCCTCGATTTGCTCGATGGAGACCAAGAACTCAATGGACCTGCACATGAAGATGAAACAATCTGAATCATCTCCTATGACCTAGAGCCCCAATTTGAGAATATTGAAACACTCTCGCAGCTCAATTTCAGCTTCGAGACCCCAACGCGTGAGGAATCCTCCTTTTCATCCCAGAGACTATGGAAGCAACTGATTTGATTTTTCTAGACACTTTCCTCATTGTTTTTTTCGTTCTGATGATATTGTGAGCTTTTGTTAGAGATTGATATTGCGACATATAGGTTACATTTTGAAGAATGGGGTGAATGTAATATTTTCAGTTTGTACTTCACTCTCTTCACCTTTTGGTCACCTTGTATTGATAATTTCTGATCGCGTTACCTCCATTCATTCATTGTAAATATCTGTCTTTTTTGTTAATCAAAACCTAATATCTGGGTCTATTCATTCTTGACTTAACAACAATCGCGTGATCGTAAATCAATCAGAAAAGTCAATTTATTGTAATCGACGCTTATTCACGCATTTAATACCACTGTCACACCCAAAATGATGCCTCCCATCGGATCTTTGACAGCTGTTATTATCTTACAACAATATCTTTATACTCAAATTCAACCAAACGGATTTAGAACTTTGGGTGCATCGAAAATCATTATTTCTCGAGATATTTCTGGGATACAGAGTGCCTTATAACAGTTATTACATATTTTTCATCTTGTTGGTCCATCTCGTCCATTCAGTAAATATTGATATCTCCGAGGCATTGATTCTATCAAGGATCGAATAAAATCTTGTGAAATTCTTGCCCATTCATCACGAATTATTATTTATAGATGATCCAAATCATCTAGAATTTGTTGCCTTTGTGATATTGAGAGCCTCAGTTGACTCCAAACATGTTCAATTACGTTTATGTCTGGAAAAATAGCTGGTCACTCTATGTGATTGATGCCATGCTGTTCGATGAATTCAAGAACGATTGCCCTCCTATGTGGACGAACATTATCGCCTATAAAGACGTATTCGTTTTCGCGAACAATAGTTTCTGGCAGAAGTAATGGGCCAAGACATTGCTCAATATGGATCTCTGCATCCATAGTTCTCTTCAAAATGACAAGATCTGTTTTCCCGTGTC